GTCATCTTTACTTTTCAAAATTACTAGAAAAATGGATGGAGTCCAAAACATTAATGCTTATCCAATACATTCATTCTAAAAACTCATGAGTCAAAAATGAGTAACAAAAATTTCATTTTACGATAAAAATGGGAATGTGGTGCCTTTTTTCCCGCCAAATTGGTCAATAAAATGTGGTAATGATTCAAATAAAGTTACTCCTCCGGTCCTTATTATAAGACCCAATTTGACTTTTTATTTGGTCCTAATTATAAGACCCAATCCATTTTGTCTCTTATATTTATGCATTTTTTTTCAAGATAATCCTTCTAATAATGATAGTTTTAGCCAATATACTTAATTAGCAAGGATATTTTAGGAATGACAACACTTATTTATTATAAATAACCAACTTAACTTACTTCCTTAATCTCCTCAAATAAGTCAATTGGGTCTTATAATTAGGACCGGAGGAGTATTTCATAAAGTTTTAAATTGGCAGCTCCAGTATGTGCTTAGTATTTTTTTTTTAATAGAATTTTGTTAAATGGAGGTGACAACATCTAGCATTGGAGTTTTCTACATATTTATAGCGACTGACTACGACTATAGAGTAAATGACAACATTTGAGAATATGTGGTTGTTTATTTGTAGAAGAACGAAGATGGTCTTGGAAGGAGAAACATCCAAATCAGCACTAAATGAATTTGTGGTGTTTAGGAAGGAGTTTTATGAGAAATTAAAAAAAGGAAGAAGTCTAAGTGTTTAAGGGAACAAAATGAGAAATTGACAAAGCCAAGGTTTTTTATTCTTGCATAGAAAGATATTCCCATATATATATGGAAGTCATGGGAAGGTTTTCTCTTACATAATAGAGCTTGATATACACAAATGAACAAGTAATTGTATTTAGATGTGACATCTTATATAGGCTAGTTAACCATGATAAAAATCATGACAAGGATGAAGTTTTGAAACTGCTTAAACAAGAAAAAAAAAAGGTAACAAAGGGGCAACACTTGTCCAAGCAGTGAGCAAAGTTGTTTCTGATTGGATTCATGTGATGACAATGTGTGAATTAAGTATTTACTACCATATCAAACCCTTTGATAACTGTGTAATATCTAGTGACTATTTGTATTTGAAAAGCACTATTTAAATTGTATAATATTTATTAGTTAATAACACATTTATATGTATTTACTACAAGTAGTGTGAAAAATTCGTAAGAGGACACACCAATTGCCATCAATCACATAAATAGATTAACAACTTTATTAGTTATGTTTACAACTCTTTTAAATAGACTAACAACACTTTTAATGTATAGGTAACAAGTAATCAATAAAATTTATTACAACTTTGTTAGCGCATTGATAATACTTCCAAATAGATTAACAACACTTTTATTTGTACTGCCAACAAGTAATCAGGTAAATTGCTTACAACTTTGTTAGACCTGTTGACAACTCTTCCAAATAGATTAACAATACTTTTATATGTACTGGCAACAAGTAATCAAAAAAATTTGTTACAACTTTGCTTAGCGCAGTGACAGATCTTCCAAATAAATTGACAACACTTTTACATGTATTGACAACAAATAACTAGAAAATTTATTATAGAGTAAACCAATTGGTAAACTTAGGCAAATCACGTGATGCCAACTAGTTAAGGCTGTTGACAACTCCTTTAAATAGATTGATGAACATAAGTATTTCAGAAAGATAACATAATATATGTTATAATTAAGTAATTTATTTAGTTTTATTAATTTTTTAAAATTAACTGAATCTTATATTAACAACAGGAGGTAATATAATTTATCTCAGGTCCTTCAACGACCCCGCCTTCTTCTCATGAGTTTCTGCCGTTCTTCGGCTGCATTTTGGTTAATGAAGCATTGGCTACAATCCCCGTGACAGCTGCCAGGTTGCGCACTTGGAGCATTCCGACTGAAAGCAGAAACTTAAAGTTGAGATGAGAATAACAATTAGCAAAGCGACAATAAGCCCATGAGATGATCATAATAATAATAAGTCTCTTATATGTAGGGGACTTGGCTGTGACCCTCCTAGAATAATACTCTTTCAGTACTTAATGTGAAATCTAATTAGAGAGTTGATGTTAGTCCTATATGTAAAACTTATTTTACATGTTTATCAATTTTTTTTAAATTAACTCTATTGACATTCTGCTAACAATAATCAAGTAGGAGAGGGAGGAAGGAAATTAAGGAAGATATTTAAAGTGTTAAAAAAAAACTAAATCAGGTCCTCATTATAAGATCTTATTTGTAATCTAGAAACGAGGTCTTATAAATAAAACCGAAGCTAGTATCATATTAACTAATTCAACTAACATCCTTAATCTACTCAAATTAATTATTTAGGTCTTATATTTGAGTATTGGAAGAGTCTAATATACCAATTGTACTCAAGCATATGATTAAGGGTGTGTTTGGGTGTCTCCCCAAACTATGGTTTGGGGAAAAAATGACCCAAACACCCATAAGAAATCAAAACCATGGTTTTAAAAAAAGCATTTTGAATATGCTTTTGAAAAAAAATTAGAGAGTGTCATATGGATATGAGGATCTTTTTTGGGACCAGACACTTATACTCCTCGAGCTTGAATCTTCCGCCTTCGGTCCTTCGCTATTCAGAGAGAGAGTATGTTGTCTTTTATTTTAAAAAAAAAAACCAGAAAGAGGTAGTACATTGTTACATTGTACTTTTTTAAAATTTATTTCTTTTCTGTTATTCATATTTTTCAAAAATATGTATAATCTTATATTTCATAAATATTTTTACACATGTAGTATAATTAATTATATTAAAGATGAGAGGTAGTATGTTATTAATAAAAACTAGTTGTGAAAAAATGTTATAGAATTTCATGTGTAAAATCTTTAAAGAAAATTAATATTTTTCCATTAGAAAAAAATAATCATTTTTCTATAAACATATTTAGTCTTATAATTTATAAATATATATACATATTAATTAATTATTAATTATATTATCTTATATATTATTAATTATGTTGGTAAAAATTATTTTATTAACAATTTTATTCCTTCAAATCAAAATATATTATAAAATCTATCCCTTATATAATTATCATATTAACATATGTCTTTTTTAGTAATTTGCACATGTAAAAAGTGTTTTGGTAATAACTATCCAAGCACTCTTACTTTTTAGAATACTTTTTTACAAAATCTATTCTCCAGAAACTATTCTTCAAATAATGGTTTGATTTTATCTAAGCACCCCTAAGAGGTTCAACCATAGTAGAAAGAGGAGGACAAGATAAAGTGAATCTAGAGCATACATATTAGATAAATTGAAGACAACATTTTATATATTATAATACTCAATGTTGGAAAAGTAGATGGGGATTGACATATATTACAAACAACATTGCAAATCCGGTTTGAAAATAAACTATTTTATATCTTTAAAAAAATAAATGAAGACGTCTATATTCAGAGGGTCAAAAAAAAAAAAAAAGGTTTAGGAATTACATTTTTCTATCAAACCATCACTAAAGTAAAAGATGGAGGTTGATCAAAGATATATCATTGCCCAAAAGTGTTAGTTACCATTGTCAAAAAACCACTCATACTTCATCATTAAAAAATTTTGGGCACTACATAAAAATTGGACCACCAATCAAGAAGTAACTTGTGGGAAAGAAGAAGAAGAATAAAAATATAGGAAATACTGAAACTGAGAGCTTTAAATTCATAGAGACCTAGAAATCATGAATAGAAAGGAGTAGAAATCACAACTAATAATTGATAACAAAAATTAAAGATTTAATACCTTTTTGGTATTTCATTGATCTAATTTTTTTTTTTTTTTAACAGCAAAGTCTTGTGTTGGTGGCACCATCTTCTTCTTCATAGGCAACAAATTTCTTGGGTGATATCTTCATGAAAACTAGAACAGATAAAACAATTAAGATCAATGAAGATATATTTGCACAAGTTTACACAAAACCTAATGACACTTTATAGATGAGATGTTAGGTCTCAGGTTGAGAAACAATGTGTCGCGGTCGAAACAATAGAATATCAAAACTGTTTTAGTAAAACAGGGAGCGCTATGAGTTTTATCAAAACCACTCAAATTTTATTATAACAGACGAATCACCTCCAGATATGATATGTAAATGTCTTTTATATTGGTGAACGGCCAGGATTAGATAACTGAAATACCTTTTTCTAAAATAATGTTTGTGTGTTTTTCAAGTTATATTTTTAAGAAAAATGAACCAGAAATTAATGACTTAATCACTTTTTTTATTTTTTGCTTGAGGAAAATATAATTCTTTTGGTCATTTTAAATATGAATAAATTTATGATTTATATTTTCAAATATATTTAATGACTTGATCTCTTCTTTTTAATTTTAATGAATAAATTGCCTTGATAAGGATCAGAAGGAATAATTTGCAAGTAAGTTACATAGAGATTTAAATCAAATATTCGCTTTATGCGGATCGCGAACGACGTCATTCGGAGTAGGGAATTGGAGCAGTGTAGAGAATCTGAATGCTCGAAGGATACTCTCGCGCGAACAGAGCAAACGGCAAAGGTCTTCGAAGGGGTCGCAGGTGTGCAGCGTTTCTAGTCTTTGATTTTGTTTTTAGATTACAAGGTTGCTCAAAGGCTATCAGATTGGCCGCTGATTTGGTCTCCAAGCTTCTGCATTTTCTTCTTCGTTCCTTTTGGACTAACACGCTTGCTGATTGTTGGAGCGACTTTGTCCCCTTTCTGTGGATTTTGGTTGGTTTGGTCGTCGATTTCGTCTAATGGAGTTCGACCCATGGTTCTTGTGTTGAAGGTGGTCTTGTCACAGACAACCTGACGCTGTGATTGAAGGAAAGAAAACAGAAAGTTCCACCGAGCTTGGAAACTTTTTTTTGATTTGTCTTCTACTTTATGTGATTGAAGGAATTATGAAGCAATTTGTTTCCTGAGAATTGGAGTATTCTTCTTCCTCACAGGTATACAATATTTCTTGAACAGTAAACAGTTATTGCTCAAATGATCAAGAGAATTGTATTTGAAAAGAATGCAGTTTCTTAGAAGTCTATCCGTGAGAACTTTGATGTCATGCCCAATCTTCAAGTGCACTACTTGTTAGTGGCTTTATTGCTTAAGATATGATTCAATAGTTGTTGAATGTTGCTCTCCAATGTATGAAGCTGCTCAGTGATGTGATTAAGGTGAATGACATTCATATTGATACAAACATTTAGACTTTATAGTTTCATCCCTAATAATTCACGAGCTAAATTTTCATTACAGCAGAGGAAGGGGCATCAGACAATCTGAACACATAGTAGTGTAAGAGAAGAGACATGAGCACTCTTTCATCAGAACACCGTGGTCTCCTTCAAGCCATCACCACTATCCTCACCTCCGGTCAGAATCACTTCCACCATCTCGAACCCTACATTCCCCATCTCCACAATCACACACTTCTCCTCTCTGTTCTCTCCTCCAAGCCTCTCACTCCTTATCCTGCTACGCTCTTGTCCTTCTTCAAGTGGCTTAAGGTCCATGCACCTGCTGTTGTTTCCAATACCCCACAGCCTCTCCTCACTCTTCTTCCTCATCTTTTCAGCCGCAGCATGTTCACTGATGCCAAGTCACTTCTTGTCTCCTTTATCACCTCTGATCGCCACCATTTACTCCACACCTCCATTCTTCACCCAAATCGTTGCCTTCCCAGAAGCACTAAAGCCTTGCTTGATACCTCCATTGGAGCTTATGTTCAAGCTAGCCATCCGCACCTTGCTCTTCAAATTTTCTACAAGATGAAGCGTCTTGGGTTTCGACCTAATTTGCTCACTTGCAATACACTTATCAATGCGCTGGTAAGATACCCATCGTCACATTCTATTCTTTTGTCTGAAGGAATCTTTAAGTATGCTATTAAACTTGGGGTGAAACCCAATACCAACATGTTTAACATAATGATATATGGATATTGTGCGGATAATAAGTTCAAGGCAGCTATTCAGTTAAAGAATCTGATGAGTAAATTTGGATGCTCCCCTGATAATGTCACTTATAATACCATTTTGAATGCACTTTGTATGAGAGGTCAGCTACATAAAGTTCGAGAAATGTTGCAAGACATGCAAGTTATTGGCTTAATGCCAAATAGAAACACATATAACATTTTGATCCATGGATACTGTAGATCAAAAAATGTAAAGGAAGCTGCCCGGGTTCTTGAGTTGATGACACGAAATAATATGTTGCCAGATGTTTTTACTTACAATACAATGATAAGGGGCTTTTGTGTTGAAGGTAAGATTGATGAGGCTAGTAGGGTTCGAAATGAGATGGAGAATTTGAAATTGATACCTGATGTTGTTACTTATAATACGTTGATTGATGGTTGTTTTGAGTGGCGAGGCAGCGTAGAAGCATTTAAGTTAATTGAAGAAATGAGAGTTAAAGGGGTCCAGCCCAATGGAGTGACTCACAACGTAATGGTTAAGTGGTTCTTTAAGGAAGGTAAGATTGATGAAGCAAAGAAGACTTTCATGAACATGGTAGAAAGAGGGTTTTCTCCAGACTCTTTTACGTATAATACGATGATTAATGGTTATTGCAAAGCTGGAAAGTTTGGAGAAGCATTTAGGATGATGAATGAAATGTTAGCAAAGAGATTGAAAACTGATACTGTTACGCTTAATACCATGTTACATGCTTTGTGTGTGGAGAAGAAGCTTGAAGAGGCATATGAGTTAACTATGAAGGCCAGCAAGCGAGGTTATATTCTTGATGAAGTAACCTATGGAACTCTAATTATGGGATACTTTAAGGATGAACAAACAGAAAAGGCTCTGAATCTCTGGGGCGAGATGAAAAAGAAAGGTATCATCCCTAGCATTGTCACCTATAACACATTAATTAAAGGTCTTTGCATGCATGGAAAAGCTGATCAAGCAGTGGAGAAATTGAATGAGCTCCTAGAGAGAGGCTTGTTTCCTGATGAAATTACATACAACATAATTATTCTTGGCTACTGTTGGGAGAAAATGGTGGATAAAGCATTTCAATTCCACCGCAAAATGGTTAAGAATTCTTTCAGGCCAGATATCTTTACATGTAACATTCTTCTCTGTGGACTTTGCCGGGAGGGCATGCTTGAGAAGGCTCTTAAATTTTTTGACACATGGATCTCTAAAGGGAAGCTTGTTGATACGGTTACATATAACACATTGATATCTTCCCTTTGCAAAGTGGGAAGGCTTGATGAGGCGTTTGATCTTTTGACTGTAATGAAAGAAAAAGACCTGGGGCCTGATCATTATACTTATAATGTTATTGCTGGTGCACTTATTAATGCCGGCAGAACAGAGGAAGCGGAGTCTTTCATGTCAAAGCTTAAAGGGACAGAGCAAGATGAGAAAATTCTTGATACTTCCCAAGAGCCTGATTCTTGTAGTGCAACGTACTCTGATCTTATAAGTGATTTGTGCACTCAAGGGAAGTATATAGAGGCGATGAAATTATTTCATGAATCAGAGCAGAAAGATGTTACTATAAACAAATATGCCTATATCAAGCTAATGGATGGGATCTTGAAGAGGCGAAAAAGCATATAAAGGTCTCTTGATTAGAGTGGTCCACAGGTTGCAACTTGCAATTGACAATGCAGTGGACTCTTAAGAGGTGTGGTTACTATTCACTATGTCATCTAATAATGATATTCTTTTCCACTGAAAATTTTGTATGGAGTATAATTAAAGAATGGAAATCTGGGAACTGAAGCTATAGTTGAGATTTGGCTCTGGGATGGACACGAGGGTGTCCTTCATGGAATTGGAGCTTCCCTTTGTTTGGATGTTCCATTTTATGTTGCTCTTTGGGCTTTATGCTGAATCCAGAAAGGTACATAATTGTTATGTTCCAGCATGCCTAACTGTCTATTATTGAGCTTGAGATTAATATAAATTACTGAAATTTATGCACTGTGCAGTTTTTTTTTTTTTTTTCCTCCTCCCCAAAATAGATTTATGTATATATGTTGATGAATGCTGCTTCCATTCAACCTAGTTAAAAAGACTAGCTTCAAGTAAGCAGAGCATTGGAAAGAATTTCGAGTGTGATCAGCACATATAATGCTTCTAGAACACTTTATATATTTTTTAGAATACCATTTAGTTTATTTATTGTACCTGGAATAGTAGTTATGAATATGACCTCCTCTGCGCCCACGTGCGTGTGTATCTTTTAAAAGAACCCATATTTATGTAGAAGTAGGGAAGTCATTTAATCTGACAAATTTGGACCCTGCTTGGATTAAGGGGGAAGGCATATTCAGGGACTATAATTCGCTAAATATATCTTGTGTCTTAACATTTTGAAATATTTGGAGAGCAGACTGTTTCTGGACTGATCATGTTAAATCAGGTATAATCATTAAGTCTTTTTTTGCCCCTGTGCACTTTGGGGAAAATAGAAAATGCTTTTATATTTGCTTCAATAATTGAGTTTATAATTCAGCAAATCATTGGCTGATATCCAGACATGTTATCTCTACTAACTGGAGACGAAAATTTGACAGCTGAATTCTCAATATTGGAAATATTGTCGTCAAATTGACGTGGCTTTTCTTTGCTGCTCTGTCTCCGGTTAAGTGTTTCGCTTTTCTCTGAAGGATTGGAGACTGTTCCCCCCATTACTTATTAGTTTTATTTAGGAGTTCTTTCACGTTGTTTTCTCTTTTTGAGGATTTCATATCTTCTAACTTAAGGCAGTCTCTTTCTTTTTTTTTTTTTGGTTGAAAAAGGAATCAACATATGCTCATGATAAATGCATTCTATACTAATATGTGTGCACATGAACTGTTCTAAACTAACATAATGGCTACAGCAGATGGTTTACTGTTTCTTTGTTTCTTTGGGAGTAAAAGGTTACCACATCGAGTCATACAAGTGAAAAAATTTAATGCTTGGAGCATTGAGCTCAGTGTACATGTTAGATGACAAGTGAATTTTAAATTCTACGGGAGGTTGTCAATTGGTTTTTCTAAACACACGTTCATAAGTAGCTGACTAGCCCCTCATCAGAATCTCCCTTATCTTATTTAAAATAATGATGAAAGGGTGATGTCTTGAATGCTCTTTTGCAATCACAGTTTAGAGCAACACGTTAACTGTTCTGCGTCCTTGGTTCCCGCAGAAATTTAGGCCCTTTAGATTTTCATCAGCTTGGTTGAGGTTCTATGTAAATATCCACGATGATTTGTTGTTTCATTTGTCTATATGTAAGCAAAATAAGTTTTTATTGAGAAGGAATATTTCTTAAATTCTGAAATGCTTTGTTGTGTTCATTTTGTGGTCTTTGGGTTTGCCAACCACCATATCAGCATAATTTAGATGTGATTCATTTCAACTTGCACCTGCAAATTTTCCATTGGGGGGGAAAAAAAAGTTCATTTAGTTTTTTCACCTACTTAAGAGAGAGAATTTATTTCAAATCAAATTACATGGAGTAACTATAGTTTCTTCAGTTCTCGGGGAATCAAAAGGCTTCAGCTTAACTCGGTGTTCTACCATGAAGGATGGTTTTTTTTAGCTTCCGGGCCACATAAAAAGGTCAAAATCAAGCAGAGGGTCAGGAAGCTTTGGGAACTGTGCAATATTTTGTAGTGGACTAACCATTTTTGATGAGGGCACAAGGATGGTTTCACTGTTATACCACCATCACTGGCACATTGCAAACCTCTTTTCTCTTAGGCCCCCAAGAAAACTGGCCTCATCATTGTGAGTTACAAGTTTTATTTTATTCTTCTTTCTTGCTATTGTGTGTTCCATGGCGCGTATAAGGCTTATCTTAGCTCTTAGTGATGTAATGTGCTATTTGCAGGCCCAATGTGAAGTTCCGACGAACAAGCCAGAAAAGAAAACATGACATTGATTTGGTGGAGCAAATAAACAGTAAATAAGAGGCTTGGTTCTCAACGAGTGAAATGGTGTTCAGGTTAACCAGTTTAGGGGGACACAGAATAGACAATTAGACATACTTTATGTGCACTCGGACAAGTTAAGATCAAAACAATTCCAGGAACATAGACGGGAGCTTGCGGCTACGTGTTATTACGATTACTGTGATAAGGTGCATAATTTCATAAAATAATCGGCAAATGGATTGGAGAAATACTATTGAACTAAAGTAGATTTGTGCTTTTGTCTGTTTATTTTAGACTTGATATTTGTTGTGAACCCCTGTTATAATATTTTTATTATATGTTAGACACGTCTTGCTTTTTATCTCAATATGTTGATAGCTTCAACCATTTGAGGCTTAATGACCTTAAAAAGTAACTAATAAATAGAATTGGTGCAATCTTTACACATGCATGTAGTATAGATTAACCAGCTTCTTCTCATCTATACTGGTAAAACCTTGTCCATATTTGTGAACGCCCCACTAACACCAAATAACATCAAGCACAAAAATGGAGAAAACTTTCCCCCAAAAACAAGAGATCTTTGGAAATATTTCGTCCGGTTCTTAATATAAAAATTAGTTAACTAATTTGAGTAGATTAAGAAAATTAGTTAAATTAGTTATTTATAATAAATAGGTGTTGTTTTTTTTAAAATATCCTTACTAATTATGTGTATTAGTTAAAACTATCATTTGATGAAATCTTTTAACATGTACAACTATTTATTACAAAGTGAATCGGGGTTTTATATTTATGATTAAGGAGATGTTTGGATGGAAATGAAACCATGATTTTAAAAGTAATTTTAGAGCACAGGAAGTAAATATGTGGAGTAGTTTGTCTTGATTTGAAGAAAAGTCTCTTTCAAAAGCACTTTTATAGCTTCCGAAACACGGGTATTTGGATGTGTTCAAAAGTGCTTTTTTAAAAGCACTGTTATGTAAATCGAGATAAAATTCTTTCACATATTTACTATGTATACCAGAAAATCACTTCTAAAACTATAGTTCAGGAGATGTTTGGATAAAACCAAACCATAGTTTAAAGAATAGTTTCTAAAGAATAGATTTTAGGGATAATAGATTTTATGAAGAATAGATTTTGTGAAAAGGTGATTCTGAGAAGTGAAAGTGTTTGGATAGTTGTTATCAGAAGTACTTTTTATATATACAAATTACTAAAAAAGGTATAAGTTAATATGGTAATTACATAAAAAATAGATTTTATGATATATTTTAATTTGAAGGAATAAAATTGTTAATAATATATTTTTTATCAATATAATTAATAATACATAAGATAATATAATTAATAAATAATTAATATGATAATTTATAAGATATAAGATTAAATATGTTTATAAAAAAATTGAGGAGTGTTAAAGTCATATTATTGTTGAGATCTACTCTCAGACTCTCCCTTGTACTACATTTGAAACAATGAGAAAGAGATGAATAATTGGAAAGGGTATACCCGTCTAGGTAAAAAAAAAAAAAACAAGGCACATATCCCACAGGTTCTCACTCTCACCCTTTTTCCTCTAAAAGCAGAAAATTTTTGCTTTTAACCATGGTTTTAATGGTTTTGGTTTTTTTTTTTTTAATGGTGTTTGGGTGATTTTTCCCCCAAACCATGGTTTGGATCATCACCCAAACACCCCTTTAGTTTTCATCCAAACACCCAAACTAAATATTGAACTAACTATTATATTAAAAATCGAAGATATTATGAAAGTTTAGAGTACAATGAGTTTTACATATTCAATATTACATAGTTTAAGAGCCTGTTTGGATGACATCCAAAACTATGGTTTGGAAGGAAAAACCATGGTTTGGATAAGATGACATCCAAATAGCCTCAATTTTTTTTGAAACCTTGGTTATAGCTGAAACCATGGTTTTGAAGGCTGAAACCATGGTTTGGTGAGAAGTGAAAAATTGTTGCTTTTGGAGAGTGAAAGCTAAGTCATTGGAGTGATAATTATGAGTCAGATGGAAGCAACAATATATTTTGACCAAAAACACCCAAATTAATAATTTTCTGTTCACAACAAAATAATTCATCTTCTCTAAAAATATTTTTACTCTTATATTTTATAAATATATATATATACATGTAGTAACAATTAATTAATTAATTATATTAAAAATCGGAGGTAATATGTTGTTACAAAAACTAGTTGTGAAAAAATGTTATGGAATTTTATATTTAATATCTTGAAATAAAATTAATATTTTTCTGTTAGCGGAAATTTTTTTTTCTAAACATATTTAATCTTATATTTTATAAATATATATATATATATACACACATATTAATTATTAATTAATTACATTATCTTGTATATTATTAATTATGTTAGTAAAAAAAATATTATTAACAATTTTATTCCTTCAAATTAAAATATATTATAAAATCTATCTTTTATGTAATTATCATATTAACTTATACCATTTTTAATAATTTGTACATATAAAAAGTGTTTCTGATAACAACTATTCAAATACTCTCACATGATCAAAATTGTTTTTTCATAAAATCTATTTTTTACAAAATTTATTCTCCCCAAAATTCATTCTTCAAAAGTTATTCTCCAAACTATGATTTGGTTTCATCCAAACACCCTTTAAGAAAACATGTTTCAGTATATATATATATATATTTTTTGACAGTACCGGAACGTGCTACATTGTTCATCTTCACCATTTCCCTTGTGGAAAATTCTTCCATACCTACAATTGCAAGCACATCATCATTTCAAAAGTACAATATGTCGAAAGTCTCGACCGAGACGACCCCAAGAAGAAGAAAGGACAACACAAGTATGAGTCCCATTTCATCCTCCGAGCTCTTATCTGCATATATTAGACAACAAATTAAAAACAGAAAGTAAAAAATTGTTATACATGAAACCTACTTATCTTTTTTAGTTTTTGTGAGAGGACCGGTTGGCCCTAGCTTTCTTTGATCTCTTTTTTTCTTTAAATTTTATTTCTGAACCAGCATTTCATATCAGCCTAGCTAGCTCTCTGATTGAACCTATAAATCCAATATCATTCTAATCTCAAGTCGCAACCAATTCCTGAGAGCATTGGCATCTCTGAGGAGTGTCCAGCAAGCCTGACAAATTACCTTCTAAAATATTTTCAACATTGAGTTCATCCTCAGGATTACGACCAATTTCACCCAATGCACAACCTCGGGAAGATCCTGTGTGTGTGCGCGTGCAATTAGTATGACAGTACAAATTTCAAAGGATCAATTGTATCATATTGGAGAGTACATGGAAGATGCATAATTTGAGTTGGCAGAAAGCACAAAGTGACTGATAGCAAATCCCATTCCTACATTATTTTCAATAAAACATTTCGTTGTGTTTTCCCATGTCAACCTCAAATGCAATTCTACAAATGGGAAACACCCTCAAGTTTAAAGATTTTTGCCACATTCTATTTGCAGGAAATCCTGATAATCTACATAGTTTTGTGAGGAAAAAGAAGCATAAACTCACTATTTGAATTGATCATCATATCAAATAGTTCAGGAAATAAGTTTAAATTCAGTACCTTTTGGTATCTCGTTGATTTGATTTCTCTAAGATGACAAATCCTTTGTAATTGTAGCATTAATATCATCGCCTCCGTTTTTGTCAGTGTTGGATTTCATGAGCAATTTCCCTGTAAAGACTAGAGAAAATAAAAATTGATAAAGATTCATACACAACTTTATGTACGAACACAATTCAGGTTAATGACATTATATAGCCGATGAGTATAACTAATCATAGAAAAAACAATGGGTTGTCAAAACTGGGTGTGTTTCAAAAATTTAATAAGAAATCAGGTCTGGTATAAAGAAATAATGAGTTGTCACGTTGACACAATGTGCCATCAAAACAGCTCGTTTTAGAAGTTTTATCAGATAACTCAAAAAATGGGTTATCAATCTAGCTTGAAACAATAGCGATATGTCATAGGACCCACCAGGTGGTGATGTGACCAGGCCCAACAACTAGCGTGGCAATGTGTCTTAACAATCATGTTTTGATGCGGGCCTATTGCTAATAAAGGTGGTAATACGGCCAACACATGGGTTGGGGTTGGCCCATGACGGGTTCAACCCATATGGGTTGAGTTGGAAAGTGTTGTTTAAAGGCTACTTGGCTTTTAACTAACTCTAACTCGTTAATGTGGGTTGGCCTATCAATAATTTTTTACTTTTTTTTTTTCAAAATTTTTTTATCCTTTAATATTTTTTTCTTATTTAATATCCAAAAAAATATAATGAGATCTTTTTTTTCTTTAAAATATTTGATTGGAAGCACCAAATAAATTATATATGTATTTTTTTAAAATTTTTTAGATAGAATATTTTATATAATAATATAATTATAATAATTTTTAAAAAATTTAAAAATAAAAAAATAAATGTAAGTCAGCTCGTGGGTTGATGGGCTAACCCACGAGTTGGTGAGTTGAACCTTTGGATTCAATTCATATTACTAGTTCTAATTACTGTCACATAGTATGCATTTTGGGGAACTATTCCTTTCCAACTTAATTAGTTTGAAAATAACGAGGATTGAGCCTTGCTAATTGTGCAAGGAATATATTCTGTTACTAATTCCACGATAATATGATCAAAGCTTGACATAGTGATATAATAGCGAGAGATAATGTCCTTTGCTAAATTAGCGAAGAAATAAGCCTCCACGACCATATTTTAATGTCTCAATATTTAGTGGGAAAATTATTGAGGGGATTTATTGCTCACTATTCTCAATTCAATGGGGGAAAATTGCAATTTAGCAAGCGATTTGTCCCACACTAATTTGCTATTTTATAATAGTGATGGATGATAGACTTTTCTCACTTGTTTTTCAAAACAGCCAGAAAAAAATGAAACATAGGATTTTTTATTTTTTATTTTATTTTAAAGAAACAAGAAAAATCCCACTTTTTATGACTTTTTACATCTGTTATGAATAGACATGAAAAGAGAGATTTTTTACGTCTCTTCAAAATAGAAGTAAAATGTAAGGTGCTTATTATGTTTTTTTTTTTATGTCCGCCCAAATGGAAATAAAAAGTTCTTCAGAATAGATGTAAAATTTTTCTGCTGTAGTAGTGGCAATTGGCTGTAAAAATTGTGTTTCAAAGCTAGCGGCTATGTGACTTGGAGGCATGAAAGCTCTCCCATAACTTAAGGTTATGTGTTCAATCTCACTTGTAACCCTTATGCCATTAGTGTATGTCCCCTCTTATTAAAACTTGTGTTTCGAAGTCTCACTAAAGATTAGAGTTAAGATAAGAAAAA